TCTCTCTCTCTCTCTCTCTCTCCCCCCTTCTCTCTCCCTCTTTTTCCCTCCTCCCTCCTCTAGACCCTCTTTCGCCCCCTTTTGCTACCTCGCCTTCCCTCTCCCTCTCTCCGGTTCCCTCACTTGGCATATGACTAACCCTTCTCCCCTCACTTGGAAACATTGCCAGGGTACGGACGGTAAAAGAAATCAGACTTCACTTGGTGAAGAAAGAGGGCAAGGGGAGGATAGCCGGTCCCTTGTGCCACCAAGGGGGCAAAAGAGAAAGGACGTTTGAAAGAGTGGGAAAAAGGCGGAATCCGGAATGGAACACAAGTGGAAAGTGAGGTCCGTTTGACTCAACTATTTCCCCGACTGCATGACTATGAAAAGAGGATGGTCTGATTGAGCAACAAGAAGGGAACAAAGCACAGCCAAAGAGCATGGAAAGAATAGGCATGTGGGAAGGGCTATGTGTTGACCCCCAACGGGGGACATTGTATGGATCTCCTTGCTTGTGTGGGATTGTGCAGGTGAGTAATGGCTAGAAATGCCTTGAGCGGGATAAGGGCGAGAGGAACTGGGCATCAAGAGGGAAAGGGAAGAGGGACAAAGGGACTATGGGACCCTTCACATAGAGCCAATTCATGAAAATGACTTTTGCACTTGAGGCTTGGAAGTGTGATTGAGAGTGTAATCGTACCAAGGAAAATATGATGTTGTGTGTGCATGCGTATGAGGACCCCGAAAAGACTAAGGGGCCTACTTCAATAAGGTGGGAAGCAAATTGTGAGATCCGATGGATGCGTAGAGGCGAGGGGGAGGACGGCCCCGACGCACCCCGATAACGCCATATAGCCAAAATGCTTAGGGAAATGGTGCGTGGCCTAAGGATGACGCTTAGCCTACGCACAAGAGAAGAGAAAGGCTCAAAGAACCCCTGGACTGCCTGCGTATTGGAAGGAGCAGTTGCTTGAGAACACAATAAAGAATCAAAAAAGAAAATCAGCGTTGCGGAACGACCAGTGAGACTACCACCCGACGTGAGGGCTGAGCTACATTCCCAATGTCATAGCTCTCTCGCGCGATGGCCCACCCCCATCCATCTCAAAGCACTAGGTGGGAGTGACCTTGGGACGAATGGCCCGCGCCCTGAGCGTGAGTGTGGGCGGGCCGAGCCAACTGGGACCCGCAGTGGGGTCGACTAAGTCTCGAAAGTCTACCGGGGTTTGGCCCTACAAAAATGGTGGAGGTGCCGGGTATGGGGTTAAATTGACCCTTGTGATTCCGATGGGGGCGCCCGACGCATTGACGTGTACACAACCCAAGATAAGGAAAATGGACTTGTGTTTGCCCTTTCCCTTGTGAGAAATCAGATTTGAGGGTGACTGGGCGCATGGCATGGTCAGGCCTGGAGGTATAACATGCATGCTATGCACTTGATCAACCATTCCTTTGAGGAATGGCTCTAGCCGTCCTTCGTCCGGTGCTGGTGTTCGCCAGTCCGGGGAAGACTTGGGCAAGTCGCAGGTCGACCCTTCCTCTTCGTATGAAAGAAGGGCTCCGGTTACCTGGCAGGCGGTTGGTGCTTGGCTTAGGCCAGGTTCCAATGAAAATCCCATGACGGAGTGATCCGACCGAATGGGTGCTTTCCCCGTCTTCTTTTGAGCCCAGCGGGCTCATGCACTTTGCACCTTTTTAATGATTGAAGGAACCAATATGAACACAACGGGTTATCAAGAAAGAACAATCCTACCCTATGAAAGGACAGACAAGTGAAGAGAAGGGAATGAAGGGAGTTGCTAGACTCCAAGGAAAACTAGCTCACCCTTGAAGATTCTCACGAGAATGAACCAACCACTATGCATGAAAGTAGGGGGAGTGACACTCGTTGTCCTGAGAGAAAATCTGTGAGTTATGGGTAGGAAGCGCTGAGTCCACCAAGGGAAAGACACTTGTACTATGTGTGTCCCACTTGGAACTTGTGATTGCATGATTGGGATTTCGAGTGTCCTGCCATTTGGAAGGAAAGGATTGGTTTGCGCCGGCCGGTGCGGGATGCGAGCTGGTCGTCCTCTTTGAAGTTCACCGGGTTCCGTGTGTGGGGGTCGGGCCACCGGATTGTCAGGCAAGGGTTGGTCTCGTCGGCTGACTAGTAGCATTCTCACCGAAGTGGTCCGAGCATGGCTCGATGATCTTGCCCAGGTGGGATGTGAAACCTCTTCAGGCGGGGCGACTGCTTGGCGGCAGACGGCAGGGGGACCACTGCATATGGGGCAAGGAAGGAGCCTCGGAGGCGATTGAGAGCTTATCGTAGCATGGCTTGGGAAAAACTGTTCCTTATCGTTCCGATGGAAGTGAATGCCTGGACGGCTGGCTCCAATGGCCCTACCGAGATGTGCCGGGTGATTCCCGAGATTAACGGTGGGTACACGAGCGGAAAGTCGGGATGGGGTATTCTGGGTAAGGAGGAAAGGGCGAATGCCTTGCTGAGACTTGGGTACCGCGCTTGCGACGATTGAGCTGTGCTTGAGGTATGGGATAAAACCCTACCGATAGTACCAGCGGAGAGACCATATTGGGATGGCCGGTAAGGAGATGACCGGCCCGTATGTGAGGTTGCCTGATTTTCTTTTATGTGTTCCCCCTCTGTAAAAAAATTGATTGAGATTGGACTGTTGGACGGACACTCTTCTAAGTCTATTCCCCCTCCCATCTAAGTCCGCACGAGTGAGAGATGATCGGAAGGAAGGAGGATAAAGGTCAATTGGAATGGAACCAAGAGAAAGAATGTGRGCAAATRGATGGCCGRCCGAGRGAATTATGGGAAGGAGGTACTTAGGAATGGGGAGGTAAAATAGGGAGACCTTGATGAGGGGTCTGAAATAATTCTCATCTAGGACAAGGGTTGACCTGACCAAAAGGATCGGTTGGTGCCTTTTTATGAAAACAGGGGTCGGGTGCTGAAAACAAGATGGTGCGATGGTTGTCTTCCTCGATCTATACCAGCGGTCCGGAAATGCCAGTAGATGTAAAGGATGGGGTATTGGTCGTCCTCTCGGAAAATGGAACGTGGACGGACCTTGAACCAGCGTATCAAATGGTAATGCTGGAAGGAGAGGATGCTTTCCTTTGGATAGAAACAATATGGACTAATGTCAGCTTGACGAGGTTGTCACAAAGTTTAATGGATTTTGAATTCCGAGGGACAGTGGAAGCCCGGGGCTGGGTCTACTTGTCGCAAGATGGGGAGAAAGCTATGATCATAGAGTTGGCACTCGGGAATACGCCGGACGAGTTGTTTAGGAAAGCAGAAGCAGAGGTTGTGTGGGCTGCATGCCAACGGAGGGAAATGGAAATGGAAAGGGTAGACGTACGGGTGGAACTTGGGGATAGAGGAAGCATGAGGCGACCCGTAAGAACCATGCGATGTGTGCTGCCCTTATTCCTAGTGAATGCGGTTTTCGGAACCCGGAGCAGGCTAGTGCGAATATACCAGTCCATGACAAACCTCGGGCTATACCAATTCGCTAGGCAGGATTTTTTTCGGTTATCAGTAGAGATGGGGCCGTTCGAGGGGAACTGGGCGGAAGAGCTGGCCGAGATACTAAATTGTCTTAGCATAGACAATATCTTTGTTCCCAGCATTGTGCATTGGGGGATAGTCTACAGGAATGTGGCAGTAGGGGAGACGTTCCTAGATGGGGTAAGGGGGTTGATGTACTACGAGGAGGACGACCTCAGTGACGAAGATGAAGATGAAGAAATAGAGGACTGAGACTTCTAAGAGGGGTAGGGTGACTTAACTTAGGAAGGACAGGTGACCTGGTATTGCGCAGGAAAGGGAAAAATGACTAGAGAAGAAAGGATGATGGAATACCCCTTCAAAGGCTGGGAACCACGGCGTCTCAGAGGAGGAATAGAAATGCCTATACCAACAAGGAACGGATGGAGAGGGACCACGTGCGACTGGATTGGGTTTGAGGTTGCCCGGGACTTGTCATATGTATGGATAGAGCGGATTTGGAACCCGATAAGGGAAGAGGAAGGTTGGGATGATATAGCAGAAGGCAAGGTAGAGTCAGTTGGAACGATTGTCCTCTCCGAGAATGGATGGCACCTGTTTTGCACCATGTTAGCAATGGGACAGGACCGGATGTGGCTTCTAGGGGATGCAGAGGCCCGAACCCGAAAGGAAGGCAAGCTGTTCGCCAACGAGGGATGGGACGAATTTAGTAGCAGAGTTGTGATGGGAGGATGGAAGGAACTCAAACCTCCAAGTCTACGGATAACGGCTTGGGTACCGGAATTCATAGCCGAGTGGTTTGGGGGGTTTTAGCACATTTTAGAAGTAGCTGACTCCATGAGAAAGGTGCATATAGAGTGTGCCTGGCTGACTGAGGAGTTCTATAGGCTCTCATTGAAATATGGACCCTTCTGCAGAGATAAAGTCGAGGAAGTCATCATCGTCCTAAGAATAGGCAGGTATGACCACCTAGAGGTAGAGGCGGAGTCTTGGGACGCCATAGTTAGCCGGGAGGCGGCGGCTGCACCCTCCTACGTAGACGACGTCTTATAACTATTTGAGGTATTGTGGTTCGACTGACTGAGGCCAAGGGATCGAACACAGCGAAAAGGCCTGAGTATGGAGGGTGCTTGTGAAGTAAGGTGTAACATAGGAAAGGGAGTGTGTACATTAGGCCGTAGATGGTGCATAAGGATCAAAACAAGGGGGAAGTGACAGCAACTGGAAAATGGGGGGAGGGGGTAGAATTGAACGTGTATGAGTTGGGGATAGCGGCAAGAACCAGTGTACGATAAGTAGGGAGGGTTGAAAGACTAAAACACGAAAAGTATGGAATCTCGGTGGGTGCAGCAATCGAACTAAGAAAGCAGGAAAGGAGACATTGCGAGATGGTCCGGCGAATGACGTTCTGGGCGGATAGACCTCGTGGGATCCTGCCACCAAGAATATCAGAGGGCAGGGTCGAAATAAGCCTGCCGGTAAAAAATACGATAGGCAATCCGGTAATGGACTGGGTGGGGGTAGAGTTGGTGGAAGATACGGTGTACCTAGTAGTAAAGCTGGAATGGCGTGCGAGAGAAGAGTTCGGGGGCGTAGACTTGATCCGCCCAGGGCGTGTACATGCGACAGGATCCTTACACCTGTCGGAAGAGGGATGGCCGACCTTTGGGATTGCTTTGGCTTCCGGGGATGACCCCGTACAAATGTTCGAAGGGGCATGACAAATAACCTGGCGGGAGGGGTTTGAGTTTGCAGATCCGGAACAAGATGACCTGACGGCTGAGGTAAAAGTCGCTGCGGTAGAGGTTTTTGAGCTGCCAAATGAGGTTGTACGGATGAGTCTACCACCCTTCCTGCTGAGACGAGTGGGAGGCATAGAACGAGTGGAGCAGGCGGTGACTGCCGTAACTAGGCTAAATTTTGACGAAGCATTAATGTATCGAGAATATTATCAGGCCTTTCTAGAGATGGGGCCTTTTGGGGACGAACAAGGGCGCGAGGTGCTTTGTATTCTAAGAGCAGCAGTAAATGCTAGGCCAGGAGTTCCACAAATAAGTGATGAGACGATGTGGAGAGTCATCCGGSGAGAGGTAGGTCGGGGCGCGGCCTACATAGATGATCTCTACCGACTGTACGAACAACAAGAGGAGGCTACTGCTCCCGGGGGTACAGAGGGATAGTTGGGACTAGAAAAGAGAAATGAAAACACGAAGGGCAAGGGAGACAGTAGGTGGGCGGATTCTGAAGATTAGTTGTAACCCTTTCTATGTGGACTATGCAGGAAGTCACCCAGGTAACAATGGCAGTAAGACGTGAGCGAATTATCCGGTCCGTGACCTCGGGGATCCTTAGTGCTACTAGAGTAAATTCCCATAGGAAATCATTGTACGTTGCGAAGTTCTTCCTCTGAACTGCCGCTAGGTCTGCCTCCGTTGCCATTTTCTCCGCCGCTAGGTACTTCCTCATCATCACATCCCGGGTCTCCTTCCAAGACCGGCTTGCGGCTACAATGGCCATTATGTCCCGTCTTAGGCTTAACGACACATGCTGTCCTAGGTGGTCCATCTTTTCCTCCTCGGTCCACTTTAGTAACGCAGCTAGGTTCTCGTAGTCGATCAGGAACTCCGTGATGTTTGCTCCATCGAAAGTCAGCTTTTTCTTGGCGTCTGCCAGATAGCCTTGATTTTTGTTTAGTGCTCGAGCGAGGTACGACACTATCTTCTTAAGGACGCCCTCGGAGCTGCTGTTCTCGCCTGCCACACTGTTATCCGGGCTCTCCTTGTCGGCCATCTGTCCCTCCCTGGTTTTCATAGCTCCTTCCGGGTCAAACCATCCCAACACTCTTTCCCTAAGGCTCCAAAGTCCTTCGCATCCTCGCGCTACTGCTGGCATGATCGGCAGGCGGCGAACCCTACTATCCATGGCTGGCGGAGTCGTAGCCTTTTCTACTTCCATCCCCGGAGAGTTCTCTCTCTCTTTCCTTCTCTTGCTCGGCGTTCCCCCACGGTCACTACCTTTACCCCCTTGTCTAGTCCCACCTTGGCTGGCTCTCCGTTCGTCCCGGGGCTCCTCCCGCAGAGGACCTTCTTCGTTCCCAGTCATCATTTCCTCAATCAGTCTTGCCTTGTATTCCGCGGTCCTCTTGTCTATCTCGACTAGTTTGCGCCTTGTGTCCGCGACCCTTACTTTCTTAGGCATGGCTCCTTCCGAGTTTCGGAGGCTTGTCCTATCCTTATTTCTGCCTTCCTTGGTCCCTTGGGTCCCTTGCCTGCTTCCCGCGACTTTCCTCGAGCTTTCTCCTGTGGAGATTTCCTTTCGGTTCCCTTTGGTACCATCCGGATTTATCGACTCTCTGTCCTTCTGCCCCCCTTCGCTTTGTGCGGCACTGCTTCTAAGCCTGGTTCTCCTTCACTCTTACGGTTATCTGTCTCCTCTTCCGTTGCCATTTTGCTTAGTTCTGCATAAGCCAAAGAATTCCCAGGACACACGCAATGCGAGGTTTCTAGGTTCCCTAGGCTCCCAGCTCTGTTGGCTTATCTTTATAGTCTCCTTTCCTATCCCCGTTTCCTGATTGCCCTTCCTTAAGGAGGAGCCACGACTGACCCTGCCGCCCAGCCGAGCTATGAACGTGACTGGGCTTCCTTTATCACAAGCGCGTTTGTAGTGCCCTTGTCCCGTCGGCCGACACGGGGGAGTCCGGGTTAGGCATCCTGCTAGGGGAAGCCTTCCCGAGCAGCGTTTCCCGTTTTTTACCTTCCGGGTTATGGTCACTCATTAGGAGTCTACCCCCTTCTTTATTTGTCTAGTGGGTTTTAGCCATCCGGGTCCGAGGCCCCTTTCTTATTCCCATCGACGGATTTTCGTACGCAGCGAACTATACTGGATCTGCTCTATTGGCCTGCCTGCGGATCCTAGTCACGCTCGCGCCCTCGTGGTTCTTCCGGTTCGGTCGGCTCCTCGAATAGCTCAGCCACCCCTGCCAAATAGCTCTCTCCTATCTCGATCTCCCTTTGGATTATGCGCTCGTGCCCTGTCTGGTCTAGCCAGGGCACACGAAACATCAGGATGTGGATGACCTCCAGTAACTCGTGGGCCCTGTTTCCCCAGAACGGCCCATGCCTCACGGCGACATCATAGAACATCCCGATGGTTAGAGAGGAAAAGTGGTCTGCCCACATTATTGCCGAGTCAGCCAGCTCCCGCGCCCTTGCGAGGCTCCCGAAGACGAGATCTATCATAAAACGGGGGACCCGACACCTCAGCGGTGTGGTTGGTGCCCTGAACTTCCTCCAACCTCCCATCTCCACCCGGGTTAGCAAGCCCGCGTTCCTTCTTCCCCTGACCGAATATCCTATCCGAGTCAACGTTCGGGCGGCCCTTTGAAAGACCGGTGCCAGCTCATGACCTTGTGCTATCTCTACCCCCAACGAATGCTAGCCGATCTCAGGAAGATACATGGTCCCGGTAACCTCCAGATTAGAGAACAGATCGTCTCCGGGTCCTCTGTTGAGTCTCATTCCTGTCCACCGACATTCTACCAACAAAAAGGTGGCGTCCCTTCCCAAAGTCACGGCCTACCATTCTACGTCGAACCCCCGATAGGTAGAACTCGACGGGAGGGATACTTCCCATCGTCCACCGTTGTTCCACGGCGGTCGGGGGTACCGGGGCTGGCGTTCCATTCGCACACGGGGCTGGTGTTTCTCCGAGTTCGACAAAGACAAGATCCTGTCAGCCTACCAACAGACGAGCAAGTTCGTAAACACGCGGGATGTTGATTTTAGCACGGTAACAGATCTGGCTGAGAAAACGGTAGTAACGGAGACGTTGGCCCTGCTCGAGGAAGGAGAGATCATAGATCTGACCGGTAGGACGGGCGACAAGGTAAAGAAGGGGATTGAAAGTCTACATGAACGGGTGCACGGCGTCGACAATAAGATTGAAAGGATGGAAGGCGTGCTAATGGTTATGCAAGCGTAAGTATCCCGACCTGCCCTCCCTCCCCAGGAAGCTGTGGTCCCGCGAGGTGTGGCAAACCGGGGATACGGACTGAGAGATCCTGCTAACGAGCAATGCAAGTACTGCACCGCGATAGGACATTATGTGCGCGCATGCCCAAAGCTCAACCATGATATTCTGAAAAGAAGGTGTACCAGGTCGTTAAAGGGGGAGATATTTGGACTACAAGGAGAACGGGTGAACTGAAACTCACCAGGAGGGATGCGGTGAGCCATTATCATGCTCAACGGGTTAGAAATAACAGTCGTAGAAGCCGAACCGGTGGGTGAGATCATCTGGGATCAACTCCGGGGGCGCGGACCGCAGGCCAACTTTATTTTGGAAAGCGACGGACGTGATAGGGTGAACGCAACCACTCGACTGGGAATGGCCGGGAGAAGGATTAACCGTGACACCATTATGGAGGAGGTCGCTAGAAGCTCCGAACCCCAGGCAAAGCCTGAGGCCGAGGAACCAGAGAAAGTCTATGGGAAGCCTAGGGAAGAGGAGCCTGAAGACAAGGCTACCGCCGCCAAGAAGAAGTTTAGGTATCCAATCCCGATCTTGACCTTGCTTGAGCTCGACGACACTATTAGCAAGCTACTAGGAACCATGGTGTCGGTGTCTTTTCAGACCATGCTGCAAGCTAGCCCTAGGTTGCTCAAGGGGCTCAAACAACTGTTGACTCGGAGGCGAGTAGAAATAGGCGACAACCCCGAATTACCAGAAGGGGAGAGGGAGGAGGAAGCTCCGCAAGAAGTGGCTAACCTTCAGAGGAGTCACGGGGACTTGGAGGATCTCGAAAGGGTCTTTGCAGACATTCGTTTGAACTTGCCCGACCGAGAGGGCGGCGAAGTTACGAGATCACCACCCGGGACGAAGCTTAGCTTTCATGCGCTACCCGTAGGGAAATTGAAAATCCAGATCGGGAGTCATCACACCGACGCATTAGTAGACGGGGGAGCAGAAATCACTCTCATAAGGAGAGACTTCGCAACGATCACGGGATGTACGGTAAACAAGGAAGTAACAGGGAGCATCCGGGGAGCTGGCGGGGAAATCCCGTTCGCTGGGTACGTCATGAAGTGTGTTGTGAAGGCAGGGGTCAGGGAATCGATCTGGTCGTTTCAGCGGATGATCGTAATGGAGGAAATGGACCACGACATAATCCTCGGGAGACCGTGGTGCGCGAACGTAGAGATGATAGGCATGCACTTGCACGATGGCTCGTACATGGTAGACATAGAGGACCCTGTGACCGACCGGGGAGAGCTCCTTCGACTCCTTGGAACGGGAGGAGACCCCCCAAAGGGAAAATTGGCAACATGGTCGCCGTCATTCGAGGATAGCACGCGAAAAGGGGCTTTCGCACGGATGGAGGGTATGAGAGAAAGGGTAGAAAAAAAAGTTGGCATTTTTAGAGGCCCAGTAGCGGTAGGATAGCGGTAGGCCGGTACCAGTCCAAGTAGCCCGGGTCTAGGGCATGTAGGGAGGACAACAGAGCCTGCAATGATGTTTCCCTCCGAAAGGGAGGAGGTACCGGTTGCTGGGAGGCCGCTCGTCCTAGGAAGTCACCGCCCAGGAGGCCGATAGGCCGCTATATCTCTAGGAAGAGCAAAGAGCTCTTCCTCATTTGCGGTGTGCAAGGGTTGGCGACATGCTGCTGGAGCGCAGCGCTGGGTTGGTGCAGCGCTGCTTGGAGGTGAAGGGCCGCTGGAGCTATGTCGAGCAGTCCAGCTTGAGGAGGAGGAAGAAGGGGGCATGGTAGGAGAGTGGCGGGGCACTTACCTGGCTATGGAAGACACCATCTTCATCACCTTGTTGGGCGTTGCATCTGGAAGGCCCCAGTTGGGATAGTGCGGCACCAGGGAAGCTCGAGGCAGAGTCAGGCATAGCGGACCAAGTCAGCAGCGGCATAGCTGCTCTGCGTTGTCCTTTGGACATCAGCGCAGCACCATAGCTGCTTGGGTTGACCTTTGGACATCAGTGCAGCACCCTAGCTGCTTGGAGTAGTCCGCCATAGCCTATGCAAGAGAGAGGAGGCTGAAGGAGGGAAGCCATAGCTATGGTGGACTGGTTGTTGTTGTTGTTGTTGTTGTTGTTGAGTTGAGTCAGCAGTACGAGGGAACTTCGGATATTGATTCTGGTTCATCCATTCATTGTTATTATTATTATTGAGAGAAGAATAAGATTGGTGAAGAGAAGGAGGAGGAGGAAGGTGGAGAGAGAAAGGGGAATTGTCGTTGGTCTTGCTGGTGTACTTCTTCTTCTTCTTCTTCTTCTTCTTCTTCTTTACCTATACTCTGGTCTTTATCTCTTTGCAAGTGCTTTCATTTCTATCGCAATTGGGTGGCATTATCTTTCATTTTGAATTTGCACTTGGGAATGACGAGGATCGTAACACGACTAATAAAGGTAAATACGGGCACAGATGTGGAAACAGAGGGGAAGAGCAGCCCAGCGGAAGCCCCATCCACTGACGGGGAGGATCGATCCAGGCGATTCCTGGCTTGGCTCAGGGACTATGTAAACAAGGCCAAACGGGAAAGAGAACACGCCTTTGACATCTGCGTGGCATGTCTAAAACATGCAGAGAGGCCTCAAGTAAATGGGAATAAGGGAGCCATTGCGGGGATTGACAATTCATCCAATCAGTATGAAATGCTCAGAAAGGAGAAAGCGGAAGAGTTCTCTGAGTATGCGGCCTTCAGGTATGCAGAAAAGAAAAGGGCAAGAGACTAGGGTATGGAGGACAAGGACAAAACCATCCCCACAACCAAGGATAACTTTCAGGATCTGCATCTCAAGATGAGGAAGGTGGGTAAGAACCAGAAAAAGAAGGAATCCAGTATGGAACAAACAAAGGAAGAATCAAAACGAACCCTTCTGGAGAAAGAGGCAGCAGTTGTCTTGTCGCAAACAGAGAAATTGAAGAAATGGAATAAGGAGTACACTTCAGAATTTACTACCATTACGCAGATAGCAAAGGGGAAGGCGCCACTGGTGACAGAGTCGGCCAAAACAACACGTAGAACACTGAGAAACATCCGACCACTTATTGCTGCCAGGTATGTGGTGAAAGTACAGGAATGGCAGATCGCCACGGATGTTTCTTTCAAAATCCCTCACCTTGTGGAAGGATCGAATGTCATCAAAGCTCTCAGAGATAAGGTAACAACGGAGACCCCGATGGGTGTTTTTGAAACTGTCCCCCTGGAAGAGGGACAGACAGACCCCATCATTCAAGAAGATTCAAAAAGTTCGCAGAAGCGAATGGGGGACGTGGGAAGAAATTCCCCGAGGGCCTTCTCACCCCTAATTGTTAAGATGGCGGTGGAAGTGCAGCTGCGGTCCGGAATGATATGGAAACCTTGGAGAACGGTAACTAAAGTTCCCTACAGCATTTTAGCAGACATAGGCATATCAGCTGAGCTGGCGGCAGCAGTAGTTGCACACATAGTCTCAAGAGGGCTGCTAGAGGGGGACGAGGAGCTGGACGCAAGGGCATATGCCACTGACTGGGAAAGATTCTACAGGAGTGATGCCTCGGATAACGACTGTAACTCGTGGGACGGGGACGATGAAAGAGAAAATTTGGATCTGAGCCCCGAATTGGAGAAGGACAAGAGCGGGAACGAAGGGCTGGATGGGCCGGATGTCTCAGGAACGGTATCACCTTCCCTATCAGGGGATAACGGGCCGAAGACCTATCAGAGGGGGACCGGTGAGGGTATGGATACGGAAGGGACCCCTCCTCCCTAGAGGCCTTGTCACCAACCCAATTCCCTAGCCCTGTGCAGTTGCAGCCATGGAGAGCTATAGGGTAAGAGCTAACGAGGGAGGGGAACGAATTGACTGGAGGAATCAAGGGTTAGTCATCAGAAGTTGGAACGTCAACGGACTCGGGAACATAGTGGACGAAGAAGAAAAATTGAATGATCTAATAAAAGGCTTGGGAGTCACTAACAAGAAAGTAGTCGACATCATATTAATACAAGAAACCCACCTCACCTTCTCAGCAGAACACAACAAAATCCGGTCGTTCCTGGCAAGGAAACTAGAAGGTCTGAGAGACGAAGTATGGTCGGCAGACCCTGCCTCAAGCTCCAAAGGGATTGCGATTCTGGTTCCCAAATCCTCTCGTGTCTACACAGCAGGATCAGTAGTAGATAAGAGAGCAAACCCTATTGAAGGGAGATGATGCCTACATTTGAAATGGAAGGACGAGGAGTTTCTGCTGATTAATGTATATGCGTCGAATACTACTTCAAGGAGATCGTCCTTTCTGACGAAGCTCAGTAGCTTGATTCCGCCAGTCGTCCCCTGTGTCCTAGCAGGCGACTGGAATGCCACCATGGACCGGGTAACAGACCGCATATCTCGATCATCTAACAGTCACAGCTCAACGGAGGCACTACCAATCCAAGAACTGATGCTCGACCACAACCTGGTAGATCCGTACAGAACTGTGCATCCCACCAAAAGAACGTTTACCCTGGTCAAGAAAAATCATGCCGAACACACCGCTTTCTCACGAATAGACTACTTCTTGGTTTCAAACATAATGATGGGAGCAGTCAAGGGTGTTGAGGTCCTACCTTTGGCTCCATGCCCGAGGTTGGACCATAAGCCAATCGAATTGGTAATAAGCTTCGACCAATTCGTTAGGATGGGGACTAGCTTCCACAAGCTAAATAATTCTCTTTTGCTCAGTTAGACGTTCCAAAAGGAGGTATGCGACTGCTGGTTGGGTCAGAGGTCCGCACGTTTGAGTGCGGAGACCTGGTGGGAATGGTTTCAGAAGAGCTATTCCATTCTTTCGAACACAGCGGCCAAAATCTCTAGGAAGCTTGCATCCATACGAAAGCAAAGGGGACAGTCTCTAGAATTTGCTCCGATGCTAGCAGAGGCTAATCTGATTGATAACCCTTCATCACCACTGTACAATGATATCTTCGAGAAAGCGTGAGAAGAATTAGCACTGTGGAGGTGGTGGGATCTTAAAGGGCTGCAAATAAGAGCTAAAATGTGCGAACACGATCTCAGTGACTCAATAACGAAACAATTCGTTGCTCGAATCAAGGCCAACTCGAGGGCTAGTACGATAGAGTGCTTGAAGTCGATTTTAGACCCAGAGATTACAAAATATGACAGCGAAGGGATGTTAGAGATAGCTAAAAACTTCTACAAAGATCTCTACCAGTTGAAGATCCCTACACCATCATCGTCCAACACGAGGGAGGCAAGGCTGAAAATGCTCCAATACTTGGAACAAACGATAACAGTCGAACAGGCTGAGGCGCTAGACAAACCGATCACGTTGGAGGAACTGCACCACGCTCTAAGAGACATGAATAACGACAAGTCACCAGGAATTGATGGACGAACAAAAGAATTTTGGGAAAAAATTTGGCCTCAGATCTGTTAAATTTTTACACTGACAGTTGGACTAGAGGGGGACTGGGGAACATGCTCAGTAATAGTGTGGTTACACTACTTTACAAGAAAGGGAATAAAGAAGATATCAGGAATTACAGACCGATTTCGCTCTTGACACTTCCATGCAAGATACTGGCTAAAGTTCTTTCCAACAGAATTACCAAAATCACAAATAAATGCTTCCATATGGACCAAACGGGCTTCATCCCAGGCCGGTACATTCTAGATAATGTACTTACACTAAACGAAGCAGTCAGGAAGGTTAGGGAGAGGAGAATAAACACTGCCATTCTCTTCTTTGACTTTGAAAAAGCCTACGACCAACTAAATTGGGACTTCTTGTAGGCGAGTATGGAAAAAATGGGAGTGGGGCCAAATTTCAGAAAGTGGATTAGTATCATGTACAAAGATGCAATTGGCTGTGTCCAAGTAAACGACCTATTATCGGAATGCTACCCGATATCCCGTTCGATCCGCCAAGGGGACCCGTTGGCCCCGTCAATCTTCCTCTTTGTAATGGAAGTCATTGCATAATTCCTACGCAAGGATCTGTCGATCCATAGACTGCCCGAGGTCAACGTGGGCTCAGCCCACCAAATGAGTTTTCCTTCGACAATCCTGTTCGCAGACGATTTGACAGTCTTGATTAGAGCGTCAGACTCGTCCTTCAGAACACTGGCGATGGAAGCTTTTAGACTGGCCTTAGAAATGAATATCAACTGGGGAAAGACAATAGGGTGGTGGGTATCAGAGGAAGAACCCCTCCAACTACAAGGCGAGGAAGCGACCATGACTTGGGAAATGCCAGACACCCGTACCCGGTACCTTGGTATGCTTATGACAAAGGACGATCTAGCACCCCAAATGGGCCAGAACATATTGGCCAAACAAATTAATAAGCTAGGGAGATGGGGCAATGTCTTCACCTCACTTATTGGTCGGGCTCTGGTTCTTAACACATCGGTTTTTTCAATGATGTGGTATATAGCCTCCATCTGGACAGTCCCGGACAGTTCTATTAAAGAACTGAATCATAAAGCAAGATCCTACCTATGGACAGGAGATCCCAATAAAGAGAGTGGCATACCTAAGATCGCATGGAATTACATCACTAGGAAGCCCCAAAAGGGGGGGTTAGGGATTATAGATCCTAGATTGGAAACAAAAGCTCTTCAAATCAAATGGATTATCAAGCTCTTGATGAATCCGGACAGTGCATGGAACAAATTAGCCCTTGACAGTGTCAGAACCCTGGCCCCAGTAACCTCGCCAGAGGACATGTCAGGACTACTTTGGGTGATGAATAAGGAATGGGCCATGAGTACAGGACGAAGGAATCGAAGAAGGGACGACAGATTAGAGGAAGGCAGACCTCCCACCCCGTATTGGTCAGTGCTGCTTCGGATCTGGAGGGAGATAATGCCTAGTAAGACTGATAGACCTAGGTCCAAGGATGAAGTCATGAGGCAGCCACTCTTTGGTAACCAATGGATGACAAATGAGGGCGACAATCCTTTCTACCTCGAACACAGATGGCTTTCCTGGTTCAAGAATGGAATATGGAAAATCGCCCACTTATGGAGCGAGGAGAGGATGGAGTGGAGGACTGAACAGGAACTAAGCATACAACTGAAAGGGTGTCATAGACGAGGTCCCAACCTCCAGTACATCATTAATATCATCCCACAAGAATGGAAAGATATCTTGGTCGAAGCTGCGCCGTGGAGGTCCGGAGAGTGGGGACGCAAGGTGCAAGAAAAGAACCCCTCTAGAGCTTTTCAATTTTCTCACATGCTGCAGGGCTCGACCACCAAGGCATTCTTCCTTTCCTTTCCGATCTCTACGTCCGCTCTTAGTATGCCTTCCATACTCAATAGTGAGGTGGAATTGGAAGCTATGGACTTCTTCCTACTTAGAAAAGTAAGCGTCCTTGGCTCAGGGCCAAAGTTAATCTTCAGACCTGATACGGCTGTTCAAAACTTAGAATTTGACCCGGCGGAGTGGGTTTGGACGCCGGATAAGACCAAGAATATCAGGTCCAATGTCCCAGTTCACGAATACACAGTTAAATTGGGGTATAGACTTTTCTTGAAAACCAAAGATCCCGACCCCATCATTAAAAAAAGATGGCAGAAGTTACCGGGCCAAGAGGCTGATAAGCTCACACAGATCCCTTGGAAGAAGTTCAAATCTATCAGACCAATCAAAATTAAGAGCCTCCAATGGCTCATTACATATGCAGCCCTTCCAGTGAATCAATGGTTACACATCAGGCGACAGGGTTCATACCCCAACAGTTCGGATTTATACACAGTCTGCACAGAGGGCGGCATAGAGGACATAATACACTGCCCAGTACACTGCAGGGAGGCGACAGACTACTGGGCGAGGGCTTCGGCCCTCTGGGACTCCCTATTACCGACCCCCTTCCCTGAACAACCAATCCAACTTCTTCTCTTGACTAACATTCCCGAACAGCTCCAAAAGACAGAAAGGATGTGGTTTGGGCTTATCAGAAAGGTGACCTTGTGGGTTATCTGGAAGGAAAGATGCAGCAGAACCATCGAAGGACTTTCCAACTCGCGAGAGAAGGTATGGGCTGAGACGAAAACGATGATACAAGCCGAAATTCTCTGCAAATGGCAGAAAGCCAAACAATCATGGCCGGAGGCCGAAGACCAGCAAAAGAAGGTGAGAACGAGATTCAGCAGGCTCTGGTTAGTAAGCGGAAAAGTGGCGGAGATACGAGAAGACCGCACTCGCTGGAAGGACTGGCATAACTCGACCTCAGACAAGAGGGGGCAACGTTCTATAACAGTGGGTGCTCAGAATTCCTCGCGACCAGAACTCTACGAGGAAGAGGGAAGAACTTAGGGTCTAAAGGCCTGTCAGCCCCTGACAGGCTATGGCTGCTGGAGGGGAAGGGTGCGGAGATTCGGCAGGAAGCGGAAAAGATTGGTTCAAGTTCAGAGACGGGTGACCGAGCACCAAGAGTCAGGGAGGCGGCGGAGTCAGAGACAGACAGGGGAACACGTATGGGGGCAGCATAGCTAGGACACGAACTCAAGAGGGATTGGGGGCTCAGGGTATGATACCATCTCTGCGTTCAGAGCCAATGACTGGGGGTTCGGAAAGGAAGGACAAGATTGGAGGACAGAAGGAACCAGTGGAGTGGCCAGCTAGGGCACTGCAAAGAGAGGGTCTAGGGTTTAGGGTTTAGGACGATACTTCCGTATGAAAAAGAATCCTTGAAGTATGAGCCTCAATGGTAAGCGCCGTCATAGCCCTTTTGCAGGCAGATAGGTTGTATGGACCTGAGAATGCTGGAGTAAGGTTACAA